TTTGCAATTTATGTAATTACTATGCACTTAATGAATACATATTATTAAAATCTGGGCTATAATGGTTGTATTGATGTATAGCAACTTGAAATGCTCCCAAAAATGGCTCCACAGCATGTAAAAATATAATATAAGCTCTGGTGGACTTGGTTCTATGGTAGGTCTTAAAGGGTTAAGATCAAGTAAAGATTAAGTAAAGTTAATATAAAGGCTAGGGCCCAGAACATGATATTAAAGGTAAGTACTGAATATTATGTCACTTATTTATGTGCAAATGTTTAATAACGAAGAACATTAAAACATTACTGTTGGCCACATGTCAGCAAAGTTATGTGACATTAGTTGTGAATGTACTAACTTGGTTTTACAGCCTTTATATTAAAATATACGCCGTTCAATAGTCGACCTTAATCTTACAGAGAATGTGATGATTTCATGGATATTTAAAGTCAGCACTGAGACAAATTTAGTAATGCCAACATATTAAAAGAACAATATTTGTCTCTGTCAATAGAAAATTGTACTTAGTAGTCAGTATAATCTTTTAATAATATAAGTTTACATATGGTAGTGATAGGATGTGCGATCCTTAATAGTCTGCAAAAGCTTTGCGTGCATTCCAGAGTGCTCTGGCATTCACACCCACATCCTGGGTGCATGGGAAAGGTCATACCTTGTCTTTTTGTTTTACGGTAGGATAAACGTAGCTATGTCAGTTTTAGTCTAAGTGCCTTTTTTAACATATAGATGAACTGTTGGACTTTCCAGACCAGCAGGTTAAGGGAAGTCGTTTATGGGGTCACAGTCTGACACACACACACATACAGTACATATACACATCCACATTCCAATGTAAGGAACAAACACCCACCGATGTATAAATAAAGACCAGGGCAGTCACAGAGCTGCGAGTCTCAGAGCCCTCACTCTCAGTGCGAGTGCTCTGTGCTGCCCTTGTATACAAGTAAAACTGTGTTTCTCCTCTCTGATTCTCAACTGAAAAAGTGTTTAAGAATGCATCTCTTGACAGTCTCTTATATATAATACATTTATACAAACAGTGTCAAAGGAACCTGTCTTTGAATGAAGATTTAAGGTGACAGGAAATATAAATAAATACTGAAGCTCAGTATTTGAAACAGAGTTCATTCACTGCTGTAATAACTAATAATGATTGAAATAATAACTTATTATATTTGCATCACCAAAGTGAGATGACTTTAGTCTCATGAACAACATTAGCTGATTGTTATTTACTAGCTAACCTTAAATGACTTCAGTACAGAAATGAAGCCCAACAATCATGTTTACAGTCCTGTGGTCTCAGCCTCAGATACTTATCAAATCAAAGCTCATGTAGAAACAAACAAACAAATGAACAAAAGATTTTCTCCTTTATTTCTGTCAAACAAAGCTGTATGAAAGGTTTCCAGCAGTTAGTGTCATGGTTGCTAGGCAACCTGGGCAGCGCAACGGAGGCTAGACCATCCCATTTCAGAAGCCTCGCACTTCCAGCCTTAGCGGTCTTTGAGTACGCGGCCCGTGTGGACCGTCAAGGCTGCGTACTTTAAGGCTGCAGACCCTGAATTGGGATACAGCCAACATGTCCTGAAGTTCTCCAGAGGCCTGGTAATGAACTAATCACGTGATTCAGGTGTGTTGACCCAGGGTGAGATCTAAAACTCAGGGGTTTTAGATCTCACTCAGGGGTTTGGGAAGCGTATCTGTAACCGGAAGGTCGCCAGTTCGATCCCCGGGCTCTCTGTCCTGGTCGTTGTGTCCTTGGGCAAGACACTTCACCTGCCACCTACTGGTGTTGGCCAGAGGGGCCGATGGCGCGATATGGCAGCCTCGCTTCTATCAGTCTGCCCCAGGGCAGCTGTGGCTACAACCGTAGCTGCCTCCACCAGTGTGTGAATGCGCGAATGAATGAATAGTGGCATTGTAAAGCGCTTTGGGTGCCTTGAAAAGCGTTATATAAATCCAATCCATTATTATTATTATTATTATTAAAACCTGCAGGGACACCGGCCCTTGTGGACGGGGTTTGGGGACCCCTGGTGTAGCTGATTCCTTAATGTGACTGTTTCAATTAAAGAAATGTTTTTGTTTGATTTTTCTTTTTTATTCATTTCTTATTTATTACTTGGTTTTAAATATAGCTTTTTATACACTTTACAAGTCTGGCTCCTGTGCTCAGATATGTTCACCGGGTCAGTTCTATTATCTGCTTACATTTTTCTCTTTTCAGTCTGGACATTTTTGTTCCACACCAAGGAGTATGTATGGGAATCATAGATGCTTGTCTAAACTCACATCTACACATTCAAAAACAAAACAAAAAAACTCCTACTCAGTCTCTATTACAAACACAATAAATAAAGTGGTTGGCTTAAAAAATATATAAAAATAAAAATTTTTACATAAACAAAAACTAAAATATATTCCACAAATGCATCAAAAGCCAAAAACTGAAAACACAGAACAATGTCTACAGTCTTCCATATGTGAGGGACAGATATGTGGGATAATTAAACATACACAAGAGTGGACCAAGTAAAGCGCTATACAAATACAGACCATTTACCATATATAAGAGTGAAATAACGTGACAGTATGAAAATGAAAACGTGCAGAGAAGACCGCTTTTTTCACATCTCTTTGTTTTTGCAGTGATTTATGAAAATAATAAAAGCATTGCGGTAGGTAATTTTCTATTTATACTTCCATGAAACACAAACACATTCGATGGATGTATGAAGACTGTACAGTGAGAACTTATCTAGAACAACTGTTAACAGATAAGATCACATTTTAGGGGTAAAGCTAGCACAGCTGGCTTAGAAAAATGTAAAAGTTCAATTTTTTATGGTGGCTTCGCTTAATGTGCATTGTGCAATAAAAAGAAATATTTAAATTTTTTTAGGCACTTTTAGCTTTTCAGCTGAAGCTTTATCACAACATACTTAATACATACAAGGAATAGAAAAAAAGCCACCAAACCTTTTCCCAAATATGCACACATGAACATAGGCAATTAGTCCATTAGCCATAAAAACGTAACTTTTTTCTTTTGCAGTCACACTAAATATAGTAGTCTGCACAGTGGAACACTTTAACACACAGAGACACACACACATATATATATGTTTACTGACACATATATATGTTTACTGACTACACGCATAATCTGTGTCTTTGTGTTTAAAATTATTCTAAATATGACAAAAAACCAACTCGTTATTGTTCGTGTTAAAACAGATTTTCTGCAGTGCACTTCTTCTGGTAAGACTTTGGTCACTTAAAACCAGCACAGCAGTAAAACATTTTGCATGAGGCGGACAGAAAACAATCTTGATGTGCGACTGCAGAGCAGTTACAGGCATGCTGCGGCTTGTTTGGTCCCACTCTTCTTCACATTGGAAGCTTATCCACCTTTGGGCGCAGAGGCCTTCACAGACCACCTTTACTTCACCTGGACTGTGTAAATCCAGATCTGTGTAAGGCAGATCCTCGTATTCAGATTTATCCAGATTCTCAGCAGCTCAGAACTTCTAATGGTGTGTTCTATTTGGGCAAGGGCTTTAAATTATGGTGTTTTCAGGTGAATTTATGATGATGGAACTCTCGGGCATCTGTATGACAAAGAGAAAGAGAAAAGCATTTAGTCAAGTTTGTGCTTGACTGGCGAAACGCATGGCTGATAATTTTTAATGGAGGTTTCTGTGGCAGAGTGACTGTAGTCAGCTCTTATCAGTCCCAAAGATCTGACTGAGTAGTCCATATCTTTGGGTAAGCTTTCAAATGGAGCATCCTGGGCTGTGTATTTGAACTGTGATCTTTTCCCAAAACCTGAGTAGTTTTCTTGCTTAGACCTCCATGTATCAGACAATACAACAGAGATAGAGGTAGTCAGTAAGTGAAAGTACATTTAAAATAAAAAGTCCAAAAGACATGCTTCAAACTAAATGACTGCGTTGAAAGTCTTTTTCACACCGTGATTTCTTTGGACTGTTATAAAAGCATACATCTTTTATAACTTTATGAAAACAAGTATTTGGTGCACAAGTTTGAATTTATTTTGGACTTTCTCTAATCCGCACTGTGTCAGAATTATACATGCATGCTCCAATATATAGATCAGCCACCCTTATTAATATTAATGTAAATGTCCTTTAGCCACATCAACCAGGTGCTTTTCATAGCCAAGAACGGTCTTATGGCTGGATATCTGAACCCTCTCCTTGACCAAACTGGTAGAGAGTCCATCCATCCATCCATTCGCTTCCGCTCATCCCTGGTAGAGAGTCATTCGTGTCAAATTCTGTAGAATTTTAGCTTTAAATATCACACATACTTTACATACTACATCCTGACATTTTCAGTGGCCTTTCTTGCTGTCAAAATAAACCTGGATCTGTAATTTGGGACATGTGAAAAAATGTCTGCGTGCTTGCTAGTTGAAAATATGTAAAAGAAAGATATTTAAACAGACACTAGTAAAAAAAAAAGAAAAGAAAAAGTCAGCTTGTGATCATCTCTGATCAACAGCCTTATTAAATGCAGAGTAGTTTGGGCCCATTAGCAGGATTCATCATGTCATCACTTAAAGACCAGTTACAATAGAAACAGAGGTGAGAGTCAAGTTACAAAAAAAAAAAAAAAAAAAAAAAAAAAAAAAAAAAGCCAGTTAAAATGAATGTGAAGTCCAAAAGACACGCATCAAACAAAATATCTGTGTTGTGTCATGTGGCCTAAATCTTTTTTCACATCGTTGGCAAAGATGTTGTGGAAATTTGGGGACTCCTGCAGAAACCCATATTTGAACAGACTCAATAGAAAGACTTGCAAAAGTCAGCTGGTGATAATTTCTGAATGGTGTATTGCTGAATTTCACAATAATGCAAAATAAAACAGGTAGATTATTTTTCAACATGAAATTGTTAGTCACAAAAAATAAGAAAATGCTACTTTTGTCTAACGTTTTTTTAATCAGCTCCTCACAAAGGAAACTTAACCCAGTGATCTGTGCGTTTCTTCCCAGCTGAGAGAAGTCCAGTATCGAGCACATAAGCAGACACAGGTTTTTTTTTTGGTTTTTTTGTTTTGTTTTTTTAACCTACAGTTTTTGGAAAAATAGATTTTTGTAGTTACAGCTGGACCTCTGCTGATAAAAAAAAAAAAAAAAAAAAAAAGCACACTTAGTGGGAACAAATATCAAATCAGTCAAGGCTGTGTTTCCATTCGGGTCTTGTCTGGTCTCATCAGTCAAGGAAACCACATGTTTGAAACATTAAGTCTTTTAAAGGCACCGTTTATGAAAGTAGTAGTACAGTAAAAATTACCGTTAATAAAATGGAACCCTCTTCAACATCCCTGGGAAATGTGTTTTGCTAAAAAGAGAAGAAAATAATACTGTTAAAGCAAAAACACGCTGACCAGGGTTTAACACAAAGTTGACTCTCTACAAATGTTAAGAAACAGATAAATCACTTCTGTTGTTCTTATTACTGAAATGTAATATCTAAGTAAGACTATCAAATAACTGCAAGTTTAGTTGTATCCTAATCCTCTGTGCTTCAGTTACAGTGAGTTAGCATCCGCATTCTACAAAAATACCTGCATCTCTGTCATTCTTACTTCTTCCCTCAAGTTTGGAATCTGAAGCAGAAATGAAACAGAAGCCATGGTCAACGTTCATTTCCGCATCAATGTGACAAATTTGTGTTATTACATAAAAGGTTTAACACTCTGTCATACTCATGTTCTCACAGAAACTGATACAAATCAAAAATCTATGTGTAAAACTCTCAAGTTCCCTCGCTTGCGTGTGACTTTCAACTTGCAAGTACAAATTCGTTTAAGCCGATTGGTCTTTGGATTGTTAAATTTGTGGTTGCCATGACAATCAGAAATCAGATGGGTTTGGCTTACTCAGCTTTACTGAGCTTCAGGTCCTGGAAGGGTGATACAGTTTGAAGCTGGAGGATCTCTATATGAATATCCCACGAGGCTCATACAAGCTAGGTCCCTTAACTTTCGGTAGCTGTTGGAAAGATAAAGTTGTGCTATACCAGTCAGAAATACCATTATTACTTTAGTATTACGTTAACACAAAGTCAGGGCTGACCCGGGACCTTTGCTGTGAGTCACACGGTGCAGCATAAAGGCCCTTTTACAACGGATACAGCATGCGGTGCACTCATCGCTAACTAAGAGTGAAGGATCCAACATTTGTTGCGCTGGCCGCTGTCGTTTTTTTGCAGCAGCTCTTCGTGCACTAGATGCGCCTGCTCCTTGTCGTTTCAAAACATGTCCCTCTCTTACTTTATATCCTCTACAAGAATTTGTGTTGTATTTTGTTGAAATGTTCAATAAAACATGTATCGCTCATTCATAATGAAGAAAGCTTTGTAACTGTCCCGACTAGTGAGGAGTCTGTTGTTTCCACAGCACTGCTCTCCCCCTGAAGTGAGCAGTTGAAAAGGCTCTGGGTCTGTATAAACACATAAACCTGTGACTCAAATTTACCGAACTCAGACACGCACAAAATGTTTTCCTTCGTGGTGATGAAGGAAAACACTGGCACATGAAAGGGCATTTACCCTTCAAGGGCCTGAGGCTAAGTAAAGCCCACCCATCTGTTATCTGATTGGATTGTTAAATTTGTTACATGACATTGACCAATCTGCTGAAAGGAACCGGGTCAAACTTCATAACTGCAAGTTGAAAGTCACACACAGCCTTGAGAGCAGAGTTTTACACATAGTTTTTTGCTTTGTATCTGTAGCCAGACCTCAACAAAAATATTTGTAACTTGTGTAAATAGTTTTTACAAACTCATAAATTCTCATCGATCACAAACATAAAATTTTCAGATATTTTGGTTTACAAAGTACTCAGTCCACAACTACACATTGTGATTTACAAGTACAAAATATTTATGACCACAATGTGAGCCCATATATGTCTGGGTACATGCTGCTACAACATTCTTTAAGCCACATGTATCACACACACGGCCCAGGGCCCAGAATCAGTCTGGCAAAGACTCTAACCGGAGTCTTCAATCATTTTGTTTTTCAGTGGGGTTTTTTTGTTTTTTGTTTTTTTAAACAGGAAATGTTGGTAAATTTATGGAATTACCCTCTTTTATCTGGAATTTTACACATTTATTTATTTTTATCAGCATTTGCTGTCCTGCTTTATTGTATTAAATTAAATGAGTAGTTGAACATCCTTACATCCCTGCATTAAGCAACATTCACATCTGAGCTGCCACTCACCTGCTGAATCTGGTTACGCATGTACAGATAAATTGCCATGGGGACAATGATGTTCGTCATGATAAGAACTCCTATTAAAATATTTTGGATGTCACTTCCTGTTTGAGAAGAAGTTGAACATGTATTAATTTTCAAAGTAACACTCCCTTGATAACACATATTTATGCATGAATAAAGTTTTTAAAGTGCATGAACTTTTAATTTTTGTCTTGTTTTCTATAGTGTGGCCAATCTGTAAGATTCACACATTTAATAAATATCGTACATGCTATATGGTTGTTTTAAAACAATTATGTTGAATTCTGTATTTGTTTTATCAGTTTTTGGAACCTGAAAAAGAAAATGAGGACTTGGGCTCTTTTGGAATGTCGGTACTTCAACAAACTTGTCAATATACATTTTACTGAAGCAAAGAATAAATAAATAAACAAAAAACACAAGCTTACCCGTTTCTTTTTCTGAACCTATGAAAAAACAGGAAAGACTGTATGAGAACATCTGCAAACTAAATGTGTGTCGAGAGTATTGCGGTTTGTTTCTTTCAGTACATAGCTTGTTATAGAATGTTAATTATAATGCCAGTGCAATCTTGTTAATATATATAATTGTATCAACCCAAATAAACACTAAAATATTAATAAACAATAAAAATTAACTAAAACTATACAAGTACAACTGCAAATTAAAGTAACTCTTAATTTCAGTATCAAAAGTATATTCAAAAAAACTTACATATTCCTCCCTGTGAACCTATGGGAGAAAGGAAAGACTATGAGTACAATCGCAAGGAACAGTTTTTAAATCAGACTACAGCATCAAGTTAGTTAAACTGATCTGTTCAGCTGTAAGTACCAGAGGGGGGATGTTGATCAGTTTCATCTGCTTTAGTGTTAATGAAATTGACGACAGGTGGACTACAAGGGCAGCAATGAGAGATAATGGTTTCACGTGTGGGGGACACTTTTCCCTTCTAATCTTTTCTTACTGTTTGTTCACTAGTTTTGCATTTGGCTGCTGGTAGCATGAGGCGATATGGATACAGAGGTTGCACAGGCAGTTCATCTCATCCAGGATACGTGTTATTGTCAGAAGGTTTGCTGTGTCCCAGCACAATCTCAAGAGCATGGAGGAGAATCCGGGAGATAGGTTTTTACTCTAGAAGAGCTGGACAGGGACAGAGAAGATCCTTAACTCATCAGCAGGGCAGGTATCGGCTTCTTTGTGCCAGGAAGAACAAGATGAGCACTGCCAGAGCTACAAAATAACCTCCAGCAGGTCACTGGTGTGAATGTCTCTGACCACAAAATCAGGAACAGACTTCATGAGGGTGGCTTGAAGTTCTCTAGTGGGCGCTGTGCTCACTGGCCGACACTCCGGAGACTAATCATCATTTCCTCCTATAAGATCTCACATCATTAGATGTTTCCAGGTCCAAACTTCTCTTTAGCTGCCAAACTCAAACAAATACTGCGGGCTTCACTGAGAGTTAAAATCTGTCTAAATTATTTCATCTTCAATATAATGATCAGTGTGGCTGCTCTACTAGATGTAACAATAAAGCTTAACATCCAGGCATCCCTTGAAAACAGGATTTATGAAATTTATGAAATATGAAATTTAACAGAGTTAGAAGTTAGCAGGGAGTTAGGGTTAGGGTAGATGGTTAGTTTCCATCTAAAGATGATACACCAGGTTCTTACTGAGGGATTTTTGAAAAATTAAAATGTACAGCTCTGCTGTCGCTTCAGACATACATAAAGACAGTAAAATAAACAGCAGTAAAGTTTGTAGGGTTACTGAAGTTAGCTCTGTAGCCAACCACCGTTATATGCCAGCAAGCCTATGGATAGCATAATATAAACACATTATCACAGTAATGCTGGAGGATGAACAATCCCCCCCCCCCCAATAAAAGTGAAAAAAACAAAACAAAACATCGGGTCCCTGATCCCAATCACATAACAGAAAAAAGATGAAAGACGACCAAACTTCAGCCAGGAGAATACCTGATATAATCTATCCACAATACGAGGTTAGTCATTAATATACTGCTGCATGGTTTTGGATATAATATAATTCCTGATCCTCAGCTGCCGTTAAGGTTTCAAAAATGGAGCTTTAAAACATGCTGCAGATGAATAGTTGTAATAAAACCTCAGAGGCCAACAGTGATTACTGACTATTTTTCAAGGCCTGTTAAAAAGAAAATAGTCTTGTTGAACACTGTGTAGTTTGCACCCAGAACCTGGACCAGGACTTGAACACAAAAGCAAATCTAAGTCCCTACCCTCACCTACAGTCATGAGCTTTGGATTGTGACTGGAAGATCGAGACTCCGAATACAAGCAGTGGTAATGAGCTTGCTCCAAAGGTGGCTGGCCTATCAGATTAGACTCTCTACTCGTCCATGTGGAGAGTTTTTCAGAATCATTGTTAAACTTAGGTTATTTATTTGAACTAAAACTATTACAATATATTTTCCATGACACATCAAATAAAGTTCTATTAACGTAACTTACAACTCTTCCGATGTGAATTCACCAGGAATGATGCTGCTGTTGTACTTGTTGTTGACGATGTCGTTGATGGTGCTGTTGTTTTTGTTGTTGATGCTGTGCTTGGGTTTTTTGTTGTTACTTCAATGGTTGGTGTTGATTCGATGGCTGGTGCTGTTGATGATGTTGCGTCGATGGCTGGTCCTGTTGGTGGTGTTGCTTTAGTGGTTGGTGTTGTTGGC